ATTAGGAGTGAGCAATAAACCCATTACCCGCTAGCCCGCCCATAACCCATGAAATTTTTGCCCATTTAAGCCCGTCCAATTAGCCCAAATAAGAGATTATAAACGGGCGGGCTTAAATGGGCAGGGTAGCCCATTAAACGGGTAGGCCTATGGGTAAGGTATTGGGCTGCCCATACCCGCCCATTTAAGTTTTAAGTTTTTAAAAATATTTTTATTCTTCATTTAATTGATGATATTGTTTCTCATTCATATTTTATCAAACCTTCATACTTGTCTAAGTTTTTATTTTATCCTTTAGGTAAAAATTGGAACTTTCAAAGTTTATAAGACTTTATGATTGGTGACTATTTTTATGATTTTATCAGACTTTAATTGTTTGTGAATCTAAATAAGGTTGTGTGATTGAATATGGTTGATGTTATTTCATATTTGATTTGCTATTTGGCATGCAAAATTTATTGACAGTTTCATAAGGTTACATATATAAAATAATTATATTGAAAAAAAATTTTAAAAAATAAATGGGTTACCCCATAACCCGATCAGCCCAAACGGGCTGCCCCGTAGCCCATTTAATATGGGCTAAATGGGCTACTACCGGGTTATGGATTAGCCCATGCCCATTTATAAATAAATGGGCGGGCTATGGGCTAACCTTCGGGTTAGCCCACCCCGCCCATTGCTCAGCCTTACCTAATATGTCACTCGCTATTTGCTTTTATAAAAGGACCTGTTAATGAAATAATCCAAGAGGAGGTTGAACCTTAGCTCATTGACATTTTAAAGCAAGAGTCCTTCTTGTTCGTCAAACAACAAAATTTGAGGCGTATATGGAAATTTAGTGTGAACAGTTTCTTTTAAATGAAAAAGCTACATGAAGACGTGGAAAAGGGCTAGCTTTCTTCAATTTGTTCATTCTATTTTTTTTAATTAAAAATATCAAATGCAATTAATAGAAGTTACAACACAAGGTTCCTCGCATAATGCTAAGAAAATGAGTTCAAAATGAAAAAGAACTGGGGATCTTTACAAATGTACATATAAAAGTCATTCAAAAAATTAAGAGCTCATTTGGAATGATTTATAAGCAGCTTTTCAATTGTAATTTATAGAATATGAGATAAACATGTGAAAGGAATTTTGTCTCAGTTTATGTGAAATGTGATTATAAGTGCTTATGATTATGATTTCCAACGGGATCTAAGAAGGTGAGCTAGATCCGAGCTGATAACATTTGTAGAAGAGAAGGATAAAACAGAAAGCTGAAGGAATGTCTTTTTTCATAACAAACCGTGCGAAGATTTTGATAAAAAGTCTTTGAAGTTCGGCATTTAGTGCCAGGAAAATCTTAATTAGACATGCATGATAAAAAGACTCAAAATCCATCCTCTCCGGTGTCTTCCATCAGATTTCATTTATCATCACCGAACGATTTCATTTACCTTTTAGTATGATTAATGAGCCCAACTTATTTAAATGATTCAACCCACAAGTTCAGTGAGTTGATCTGTTTAATTCATTTTCATATCAAAATAAAAGATAAACTCCAATTTTTTGGCTGTCTTAAACTTTATACTCAAATGTTAAATTTCCTAACTCTTAAGTGATTTGCCCATTTTTCATCCCTCTCTTAATCAATATTTTGCATGTAGCATGCCTGAGGTTTTGCTTGGTTTATCAGCTTTATAATATAGGGAATAGACAATTAATATTATTAAATCCCTAAAAAAATCCTGAAATTTTACTGTACCCTACATCTAAAAAGACAAAAGTACTCTTACTTTATTGTCTTCTTTGGAAGATTCTTGTCATCCAACCATGCTTCAAAGTGTGGCTATCATTGGCAAGAGTAACTTCTTTAATTTTTTTATATTAATCAACTAGGTATAATTCTCATCTCCTAAGCTGAATCAAATAATTATCAGTCCATTACCAATAATAGAGTGGGACTATCTTTAATTTAATTATTTATCTCAATATTTAGTGATGAAAAGCTTAGAAGTACATTTTATATGTGTGTGTATATGTGTGTAACTATTAACAATGCCTTCAATATCACTGGCCAAAAACAAAAAAAACAATGCCTTCTATACCCCTGATCCATCCCAGTGCAAATTAAAATTCTGATTCTTGACCTGATCTGAGCAGCAAAATTTTAAATTAAGAGTCAAACTCTAATCAAAACTTGAAGCAACATAAAACATAATTTTCATATTTCAAAACAAAAAGATTCATTGCTTCAACTCCAACTCGAGAATGGCAATCTTTTGTGTAATGACTCCTGACTTGTTCATTCATGTGAGAATAGACAGAAGCAAAAGAAAGAAATCAAAACAGCACTGAGAATTAATAAATCAATGTCCATCTCATCAAAGAAAAATAAAGATCAAGTAACAAATTAGACGCTTCAATTTACTTTTCAAAATTAAAGAATTATAGGAATAATCATCATCATTTCAAATCCTATCACTTTACATCATCGATTGTTTCATGCAAACTCATAAAATATTGCAATCTCTTAAGTGTCATAACCCTGATGTATAGGTATAAAAGAGCTGGTTAGTATTTTTTTTAAAAAAAATTATTGTAGCCCAACAATAAGAGGAGCCTATACTTGAGTTTTTTTCCTCACCAAAATTAGATAATTTAAATTATTTAAAGGCCTTAAATACCTTAAATAATTAGAAAATATGGGGAGTAATTATTTGAGGATTCGAGTGAATTAACAGGAATAGTTACTTCCAAAAAATGGAAGTTCCAAGTTCAAATTAATTTTTGGGCTTAGAAAAGATTATTATTATTATGATTATTATTTTTCCAAAAAAAAAGTGAAATTAGAGGGGGCCATATTGAATCCAATAAATGCAAGAAGAATTATAATATGAAAGGGAGGCTTTTTTTTCAAAAGAAATATGACAATTTTCTTGATTAGGAATTTTCCAAGCAATTAATTAGGAAATTTATTTTTAATTTGGTCAAGAAGAACACCAAAATGTAGTTTAAGGGCCTGTTTGGTTTGAGGGGAGGGGAAGGGAGGAGAGGGGAGGTTTTATCCTCATCTTGTTTGGTTTGATTAAAAAAAAAGGGAGGAGAGGATATTTAATGATCCCTTGTTTGGTTCAAGAAGGGGAGGGGAGGGATAGTAATAATCAATTTACTATTTTACCCTTACATATTAATTTATGTTTTTTATTGATATATTATATAAATTAATTTACATCTTAATTTAAATTATATAATTTAATAAAAAATTCAGTCTTATCATGTTAATATGTGTATTAAAAAATTGGTACAGTAATTTTTATTCTAATTAATATAATAATATATTTAAAATAATCAAATTAACAAATTTTATATGCTTTAAGAGAAATAAAATTTTATTCTCTTTAGGCTATCTTTTTTCCAGCTTTAAAATATATTTAATAAATAATATATTTATAAAAAACAATTAATTTTATAATATTATAATTTTTTATTTAAATAACTTTTTATTTTTAAATTATTTTTTGTAATATATTTTTAATTATAATAATGTATTTTTTTACTTAGGATAATATATATTTTATTTGAAAAAAATATTATAATAATATATTTTATGGGTAGAAGTAGAATATTAAAAAAACTATAAGAACATAATGGTCCAAAAATTTGATTCCCTTCCAAAAACTCCCAATTTGAAGGGGAGTTAAAATGATGGAAGGAAAGGGAGGGAAGGGGACATTTTAGCTTCCCTCCTCTTCAAAATTTTTGGCCAAATGAGGGGAGGGGTTCATTTCCCCTCCCCTCCCCACCAACCAAACAAACCCTAAGATAAAAGAGTGACAAGAGCCCATTTTAGGCCCAATTTGAAGGAAATTGGTGTCACTTTTGTGACCAGCTTGCTATGATGTTGTTATTATTATTATTTTTGGTGGACGAAGAGTGATGACATCACTAAACCTTAGCTCCTCTCGGGAATTCTATTTCTGCAGGGATCTGCATTTTGTGCTCATCAGTCTCATGAGCACGGAGTGCTCAACACTCAAAATGCATAGCGTTTTGAGTTCTGTGCGTTTTAACTTTTATTTGACTTTATTTTTTTGTTACAAAAAAATTTATACTACCTCAAATCATTAATAAAAAAATTAGTTTGATATTTAATTTAGACTTAAATATAAAATTCTAATCCATTTTATCTCTCATATATATTCATTTTTTTTAATATAGTTTTTATAATAATTGCACATGTTAAAGATTTAATCAATTGTTGGTTCCAGTGAATACACATAATTAGTAAAAGGTATTTTAGAAAAAACAAATACTTATTTATTATAAATGACTAATTTAGCTATTTTTTTAAATACATTTGAATTAGTTAAACTAACTCTTATATTAAAGTTCCAAAGAAGTATGTATTAAAATTATTTTTGGTTAATATTTATCTAGTACTCAAAAATATCTTTTTTTAGATATTTTCAATATCTTCAAGTATTTTATGATTCATTTAGTACCTTAAAATATTTCTTCACATGCATTTAATGTTTTAAAAAATTTTCTATTTCCTAATATTGTATCACAAAGTATTTTAGAATACTGAAAAATATTTCAAGATATTAGATAAATCATAAAAGACTCTAGAATCTAGAGCCTGAAATATGTTTTAGGTAAGCCTAGTCACAAAGTATTTTAGAATAATGAACACATATAAAAAAATATTTTAAAGTACCAAATAAACCACAAAATATTTTAAAATACTGGATTCTTAAATATATTTTCAAATGCATTGTCAGAAAATATTTTAGAATACTAAATACATATAAGAAATATTTCAGGATATGATAAAATATTTTAAAATATTAAATATATGTAAAAAAATATTTCAGAGTATTAGATAAACTTTAACTAAAAATAATTTAAATACATATTTTTTTTTGTAGTAAAAAAAATTTCTTAAAAAAATAGGGGTCTCTCATGACGTTTTGAGTGTTGAGCACTCCGATGATGAGCACGAATGCGGATCCATTTCTGCAGCGTCTTCTTGAAATATCTCGAGGATACTGCTTGGCGGCGTGGTCTACAGTGCCCATCTCTCTCTCAGAGTTAAGCTCATCTTGGCTAAGCTGTCCGCATATCTATTGCTTTCTCTGTAAGTATGTTGAAATTTCAGAATCCAATCTTGCTGAATTACTTCTCGTATGTGCTTCGTTAAAGCGGGATCCCCTGCTATTTCTCTTTCACTATTTATCTGCTTGATTATGGCTTCTGCATCCGACTCGATTAAAATCTTTTTCAACCCCAGATTCCAGCATAGTTTTAGTCCTTCTATGATTCCCCAGATCTCTGCTGCCGCTGCATCACTTGAGTCTAGCTTACATGTGAATCCTCCCAGCCATTCTCCTTCAGACCTTCTTACTACTCCCCCGCATCCTGCTTCTCCCGCCCTGTTTCTCATTCCATCCGTGTTCACTTTACACCATCCAGCTTGGGGTGGGTACCATCTAACTAAAACTATTTCCCCAGTTGGGCTGCTTTCAAACCATTTTTCTTGCTTGTTCATGTAGTTCCTGCGGTACTGTTCAATCGCTTTCCTCATATTCCACGGTATTTTTGCATCTGGGTCATGGATCTGTGAATTTCTGCACGGGATGTTATTATTATTATTATTTTTTACACGGCTTTGGTTTAGCCAGCACATGATTAGAAATGGGGTGGGGTGGGGTGGGGGAAAATAAATAAAGGGAGAAAAGGGAGAGAAATTTCTGGAACGAGGGGGGTTGCAAGACACCAAAAAAATTTACCGGCGACCTACCTACAAAGTCGCCATCCGTTACTCTGTCCTGGTCGCCTTCCTTTCACTCATCCTTCATCTCCCTTGATCGCTGCCTCTTCCTCTTTTCTGCATCATCAACTCGTCTCCTTCATTTTCTGTTTTGTATGTCATGGTGGTGGATGCTATCCGTGTGGTTTAAGCAAGGAATTGGGAATATGGTTTAATGGAAGATGGTGGTGGGGGTGTCCGATTGAAGTAGGTAAATATCCTTTGCATCTTTTGGTTTCTTTTCAAATTATAATTTCTCTCCGTTGCAAGTTGGGTCTGGTTAAGGAATTGAGGCGGAAAATTTTGTGAGGTTGATGGGTTAGTTGAGATTTGTGTGATTGATGATTTATGGACTATCGTGATTTTTATTTACTTTTGTACTGAATGTATGCACACCAGGTGTTTGACGAATTGTATGATGGATAGATATGATTTATTGTGAGGTATAACGTTGAAGAATGTGTTACTAAATTGAACCTGAGGCAAGTATTCTCTATAATAATAAAGCGTTTTGGTTGATAAAGGAATGTATGAATTGAATTGGTTTAAATTTAAGATTGTCCGAGGGTTATGAGTAGAATTGTGGATGGCACTTGAAGTGTTTGTTCAAGAGAAGAATTGGATTGGGAGGCTAGTAACATTTGCTAGAAAGCTAAGGCTTATGCTATAGAAGGGCAAAAGGAACTTAATTGAAGTTTAAGTTCATGAAGGGAATAGTGGGACACCCATATTTTTCAAATATTGTTTCATCAAAACAACTTCATTTCAATTGTACCATTATTCGTTTTTACTTGTTTGATATTGTAAATTTCTTTTTACAACTTGAAATGCTCTTGTTTGAGTTATTATTACTCGAAAAAAATGATTTTTGTTCATTGATGGAATTTGAGATTTTATGAACTTTTATGCTGGGGTCTTTTGTTAAATATTCTTTTTACATGTTTTCAATGATAGAAAAGATTCTTTTTTACTGATGATAAATTGGCTCCACGCATTCTTGAAAATGATTTTTGTGAGGACTGAGTACAGAACACTGGCTGCTAACAACGGTGCTATTAGCCCTTGGCGTGCTATGGTAATATCGAGCTCACTTGTTATTCGTGGTTTCAGCCGTGCTTGTTATTCATGGGCATTGTTCCCACATTTGTTATTGGGGGCTTCGACTACGCTTGTGATCATGAGTTCAATCTCACTTGTATTTGTAGCTTCGACTGTGCTTGTATTGGTGCGCCGTGGTTAATATTGAGCTTGCTTGGTACTCGTGAACATTGTTCTGAAGCTTGTTTCATAGCTTCAGCTACGCTTGTACTCGTAGCTTTAACTGCGCTTGTTGGTTATTTACCCTCGTGGATTGTGTGTCCATGCTTGTTGTTTCTTCGGTTGAAGTCCTCCATTAAAAAATGTTTTTTAACTCTACTCGTGATTTGATTTCAGAAAAACATTGTTAAAATGCCTTAGAAATTTTTGTATATTGAAAATATTTTATATTTATATATATTTCATGTTATGGTAATTTTTTTAATTTAAAAGTAGCCGTAAATCAACCTTGTTGTATTTATACAAGTTACTTATTTTAGTATTTGTTTTATCTTATTCTTATTAACGGATGCTATTCACTAGTAAAATTTATTTTGGCCTTAGATAGCACAGTTAACCTTGCGCCTTCAAACGAATGGTGAAAAAAGAGAGGGGGGAAGAAAAAAAACTCATTGCTGATCAAAGCTTAGAACAACCACTAATTGAGGTAAAACTGAGTTACATTAATGTAATTATTTATTTATTTTTTAGAACCTCTACATAATCTATAAGCAGACCCTTGCCTTCATTTATTATTCTAAATATATGAATATATGTTCGTATTGTTGTGGGAGGGAGCTCCTTATTTTGTGTTGTACCTGTGAGTTATTTGCAGAATTCTACTAATGGCCGTATATTTTGATTACAAGAGATCTATTCTATATGAATGGTATTGTAATTATTATGGCAAGTGTTTATTCATATGTTCTAAGGCTTTAGGAATGTGAGTTCTCTCATATTTCGTACCGGTCACCCCTAAATTTTTGGGGTGTGACACTTGGTGTATGAGGTAAGCCTAGATCATCATACATGTGGTGTTCTTTCATTTTGAGGGAAAAATATTTATTGAAAAAAATTCTGACTTTAGCATTTTTCTGTTTTATTTTGGATGAATGCAAGCTTAGCATCATCTGAAAGATCAAAGTGAGAAGCAGATATGGAGAAATTGGGAGATATCATGTGGGATATTACAAAGTATTTGTGTGGTTGCGCCAAACAAGAAGCTGGGCTTATTTGTAAGTTGGAAGGGAATCTGCAATCTCTAGAAAGTAAATGGAAAAAGCTTGAAGCTGTGAAGAAGGATGTGGAAGCACAAATTGAAGAAGTTGAGGGTATCAGAGAGGGGCAAAGGACATATGAAGTCAGTGGTTGGCTCCAAAGTATCCAAAACATTCAAAAGGTACGAACTCTTCATTTTACATTTTTTTTCTTTATTTAGTATGTGGTGTTTTTATTTACTTTGATCGTTTCTGTTCATGAATTAGATAATTCCATGTTCAGCATCAATGATGTTGTTAATTAAGTAATCCCTTAGCTCAATAATTTATGATAATTTAATTTAAATGTCTTAGTTCAAACCAAGCTAGTTAAGAACATTTAAAATTTTTTGGATAAGTGTGAAACTCATATTATATTGAATTTATTTGAAATTTTATCACAGTATAAAAACAAAACTAGTTTCAGTACTCATCAGAGTGGTGAGCACCCCAAACTTATTATATGCTCATCATATCTGAACCATCCAGATCTGATTTGGATGATGCGGATTTTTTTTTAAATAATTATTTTAATGGGTATATAATGTAAAGTAAAGATGTATCTTTCTTAAGGACATAATTAAGTAAACAACATTACCTTATATTAGCATAATTAAAACTTAATTTGAAAGCATACGTATTGTGTACATAAAAATTTGATTTATCCGTATCTATATCGCAAGCTGTCCAATTATTCAGTTAAAAAGAAAAGTACGTAGAAATAAATATAATTAGAACACTATGTACACTTGATTATCTTTTGTATACTATTAAATACATAGCTAAGATAATACTTCAAATCGAGAACATGTATTTGTGAGCATAATGGTTTTATACGGTTCTTCATTCACTACTCATAACAGCAATGAGCACCATGTGCTCATTATTGTAATGTAATCTGGACCATACAAAATATCATGTAGATGATTCAGATTTAAAATTTTTAATATGCAAATTTTTTCAATAATAACTTTATTTTTTTAAAGAAGTGTTAGTTATAATATTATATTTAATTTAAATGTGTTAGTAGTAAATCAAAAGTGATCTAAACTTTTCCTTAGCTATGGAGGGAGGAAGCAGAGAGGGGAGGGGGAAACCCAATGTTAGTAGACTGTTAATTGAAAGGGGACACATTGCTCCACTTTTTTGCACTCTAAAATGTTTTCGGGTACTAAGTGTACCTTGTAAAATATTTTAGGATGTTGAATACACTTTGACCCTAATAAAAATACAATATTCTCTACCTTTACTATAATTTTGTTGAACAGAAAAATAATAAAATATTGTACTGATGTTTTGATCATTTTTGTTTTACAAAACATATTTTATATTTTTTGTTTTTCAAAAACTGTTTTCAAACATGCTTTTTTTTGTTTTTAAAATTATTATAAAAAAAAAGCTGTTTTGTCAAATGGAAACCAAACAAGCCCAGCCAAAATCTTTAACAATATCATTCAGCTTGTTCTGTCAAAAAATTGTCATTCATATTTGGCCAAAAAAATTCCATTCATTTATATCGAGATACATAATTTTTTATCTCGATATCAAAACTTAATATGAAAGTGTGCTTAATTAGTTTATGTAAAGATTCAGAAAACAGGAGAAAAGAAACATTAAACTTAATGATTTTGTATTCACAGGAAGTAGAAGATAATCTATATCAAGGAGTCCAAGAAATCCAAAACAACTGCCTAAGTAAGTGTTGTCCCAAGAATTGCAAGTCAAGCTACAAGTTGGGAAAGAATGTTGCCAAGATGCTCACTAAAGTAGATGATCTAACAGCCGAGGGACAAGGATTTGTTAAGGGTTATCCAATTACGCGCAAGCCATCGCGTAAAGGAATTGGTCAAATACCTCTTGAGGAGACTGTGGGGCAAGATTTGATATTTGATAAAGTATGGAGTAGAATTGAAGCAAATAATGTTGGTGTCATAGGTTTATATGGGACTGGAGGGGTGGGAAAGACCACTTTATTGAAGAAAATTAGTAATGAACTTGGGAAGAGAAAGCCTGATTTTCTTGTGATTTGGGTGGTAGTATCCAAAGAGCGTAACTTGGATGCAATCATGGATACTATAAGAAAATCAATAGGAATTGGAGATGTTGCTTGGAGTTCTTGCAATAGTCGAGAAGAAAATCTTCAAAGATTTTGCAAGCGTTGGAGCGGAAAAAATTTGTTTTATTGCTGGATGATGTGTGGGAGAGATTGGACTTGAATTTGGTGGGGGTACCTCATCCAACAGATTCAAACTCTGAGTCCAAAGTGTTACTCACAACACGATTGAAGGATGTGTGCGCAAAAATGCAAGCTCCAGAACCACTCAAAGTGGACTTTTTGAATGAAAAAGAAGCATTAGAGTTATTTCATATCAAAGTTACAGAAGAAACTTTAAACTACGACCCTAGGATCAGAGACCTAGCAAAAGAAATGGCAGCAGAGTGTAAAGGGCTGCCTCTTGCGTTAATTGTGGTAGGAATTGCCATGGCTGGTGTGGAAGATGTTAACGTATGGGAGTGCTCAAAAAATAAGTTGACAAGTTCTCCATGGACCAATACAGATTTCGAGACAAAATTTTTTTCCATCCTTAAGTTGAGCTATGATCAGTTGCCGGATGATACTCATAGAAATTGTTTCTTGTATTGTGCATTATATCCAGAAGACTATGAGATTCGGGTCACTGATATCATTGATAAATGGATAGGGGAGGGGTTTATCTGTAGAGATATGACAAAAAGCATACAAGACATTCGTTATGATGGTCAATCTGTGATTGCAAAGTTGAAGCTTTGCTGCTTGTTGGAGAGTGTTGAAGATAATGTTGATTTAGGTCGTTCGTTTAAGATGCATGATATGATTCGAGAGATGGCATTGTGGTTATCTTGTGACCAAGATAAAAGAATTAAAAGGGTTCTTGTACAAGGAGATGCGATAACAACATCCCATGATGATGTTGAAAAATGGAAAATTGTTGAGAGGATTTCAATCATGAATAGGGGAGTACAGCATGTAGCACCTGTAACTTATCCTAATTTAGTAACATTATTGTTGAGGCATTGTGGTAAACAATATTTGCAAAACCTGAAATGCATGACCAAATTAAAGGTGTTAGAACTATGTTGTCCTGATATATGTGAACTTGAAGAAATTAGTGAGTTAGTTTTGTTAGAATATCTTTTTTTAACGATAAATGGATTTGACTATCCCAAGGAGTTGAAGGAGTTGAAGAATTTGAAGAATTTGAAGGTATTCAATTTGTCCTTGAGAGATGGTAATATTGTAAATATTCCATCGGGAGTGATATCAAGTCTTCGACAATTAAGAGTGTTGAGAGTTTATTACGACGGGGAACTTGAAAAAAATGGTGAAGCAGAGGAAAAATTCATAGAGGAGGTGGAATCTTTGCCAAAACTTGAGGAAATAAATGTTGGAATAGAAACAGAAAAAGGCCTCAACAAGTTACTTCAGTCACGTAAATTGCAAAATTGTATATATGCTCTTCGCCTCGGTGGTTTGGACACCATAGAGATGCCTTTATTATTGGCATGCATTTCAAAAATGAAGCACCTCCAACAATTGGGTCTGCTTGGATTATCTGGTTTGAAAGATTATTCTGGTATTTATGATGACACTTATTGTCTAAGGATGCTTCAAAGCGTGCTTATCTCTAGTTGCCATTCCTTAATGCATGTCACATGGCTCAAGCATGCTCCACATCTTCAACAACTTGTCATTGGTGACTGTGCATCAGTGGAAGAAGTGATAAAGGAAGATGAGAATGAGGATTCTTCTTGTGTATTCTCTTCTCTTGTAAACCTACATCTGTATGGAATGCCAAAGCTTCAGAGCATCCATAAGACCGCTTTGTCTTTTCCTTCCCTAAAAACCATCAATATAGGAAGATGTACAAATCTGAAAAGGCTACCACTTCATTCCGACTCTGCCAAACAACTAATTATCCGCGGACACGAAGATTGGTGGAACAGTTTGGAATGGGACGCCAAACACAATTTCCAATCAAAATTTCAGCCCTTCACGTCAGATGACGTCAACATAAATTTTCAAGGTAAATACATTAGTAACATCAACGCACACATTATCCTTTACTGTTCTTTTAATTTTCATGGCGTAATATAATTTTACGCTTTATGGATATAAAAAATAAGCATATTGTTTTTGACATGTATCAAAATGTTGGCCCAGCTCTATCCTTTATTTATTGAATGCTAAAAGGTAGCCATTGCATCGTGTGATTATGTATGCGTGCAAATGTTTGGTTGTGATTCCTTCATTTCTTTTCTCTTCATGAAATTATTAATTGTTTCTTCAGTTAATTGGCTTTTTATAATTTGCAGATTGGTTTACTGCTGGGGGATTGGATTTCCTCATTGGTTCTTACGACTTCCTTGATAATGATATCACTGAAGGTTGATTAGCTTCTTTTTAAAATAAATTAAAGGACCACCAAACATGGTGTGTGTGTATTATTATTGATGTTTTTCTTATTTTGCTTTCCTGTTTGTGTAAACTTTTTGATTCACCATTACACCCTTCTGTACGTACAGAGCAATGGTCATTGGTCAATAATCTATTTTGCGTTTTTCCTTTCTTGGTGGTTATAATAAGACTCTAAATATTGATCAACAATTCACTGAAATTATTCGCATCTTGGAAACATCTCTTTTGTGAAAATTAAAAGCAAAATTATTCAACCTTAGATCTTACTCATTAAATCAATAAATTAATATTTTTGACCAATCTAACAGTGAAAGAATCTAAGCTACGTGGTTTGGGAATTTAAGAACTCGTATTCATATTTTAACGTAAAATTATATGTTAAGTAATAATTATTTATATAAATAATATGTAATAACGAGGAAACGAAATATTTATTTTTCAATCAAAATATCTTTCGTAAAATTAATTTTAATATTCGTTTAACAACTAAATATTAGCATTAATAAAATTAATTCTTTTAATTATGATAGGGCTAGATGTTTCAAGAACTCATTGTAAACAGTTAATTATGTAGTTTTTTTCAAACTTGAGTCGGATAATTTGGAACAAAGAAAAGACTTGAGTCGGATAATGATCATTACAAACCATAACTAGTTGCAAGTTGCAACTATTTGTAATTATCTGGAAATTTAACAAAGAAAAATTATTTAAATTAATACATAACTGATTACAATATTTCTATTACTAAGTGCTAATTAAAAATTATGATGTATGACCAATTCATTTGTGTGAGGATCAAGAGACCAAAGCAACTCAAAAGCGAAGGTAAGAACTGAACTCTGACCACCTTTCATTTTTCAGGACAAGTTAATTTCAAATCCTGTAAAGGTACGCCAAACGAACCATGAATATATGTTACTTTTTATATTCTTTTTATTAGTTACAGATAATTGAATTATTATTTTAACTAAAAAGTAAGTTAAAATTAGTTAAAGGTAATAAATATGTAAGAAATATATATTTTTTTTAATAAATATACCCTTATTTATAGAAAGGATGAGTGGGACAAGGAGATTAGAAAGGCATATAATTTAATTAGTTGGGAACAAAAAGGCATATAATTTAATTAATTGGGGATGTAAATGAAAAAACAATGTATACAAAAAAAATTAATTTATAAAAAAAATTTTAAAATGCTCCAGCTTGTAATTTTTTAGGTGTGATCATCATTTAGGAATTATGAATACCAGCAAGCTTGGCATTTATGCACGTATAATAGTAAAGGCGAACTTCCTAATACAAAACCAAAACCAAAACCAAGTATTAATTCATAATTAATTACTTAAAACACTAGGAAATTAATGAAGCATAATAATAGCGAACAAATCAACAATCCAACTAGATTTCAAACAAGTAAAAAATATGCAGTGAAATATGTTCAAAGGCCTAGCAAGCCCAAATTAAAGGAGCTCCTAAACTCAAAAGAAGACCATTGCATTCCAAGCCTTAGTATCTGTTCCACAATATATGAGTATTAGCAAATACCAAAACTAAAACATATCCTAAAACAAATCCAAAACCAAACCAAAACATATCAATTGATGAGGAGTTTTATTATAGGATTCCTTTCTGTATTATTATAGCATTATATTAATGTGTTTGAACGACTTTTAGAACAGATTGAGGGCTTATTTATGTGTGTGTTTTCTGTTGGTTCTGAATCTGAAGTAAGATGCATCATTCATTTAATTTCTTATGAATAGTATAGATTTCAATAGATTTTGGATGATATTTTCATATTGATGATTCATTTCTGTTTATTAATGAGTTTCTCGATCTTCATCCTATTGCCTTATTTCTTCTTCTTTTAGTTTAGGCTGCCAGTATTATCCGGCCATTATTTTATTTTCCAATTAATTACCATCCTTCTGCTTTCAGTTCCGTGTAGTTATAATTGCTTAAGGTCAATAGTCTTTTGTTCTATTTAAAACTGTTTCAACTTGCAAGTCTCTTTCTTGGTGATATTGTAGTTCTATGGTGTAATGTATGTATATTGTTGTCCAATTTCTTTTTCCTGCTTTATTCTACCAAGCACGGTGGTGTGGTTCTATTTATTTATTAATAGATGTGCTTCTAACCAAAGAACAAAAGATTGGACTGGACACTAAACTGGTCAAGGTTGAAAGGTCAGTGCGTCAAACCAAGGTCAATACGAGATCAAACCAATCATATTAAAATAATATAATTTAATTAAAAATAACAAAATACAATAATATTAATAATCACTAATAACAAAATACAAGGAAGTGCAATAATAGTTTGATTGTAATAATAATAAAGTATAACAATATTGAGAATGTTCATCCTTACCATTCCTCAATAACTAAAATTAATAATCATTGATACCAAAATTATTATTAAGGTTCACTCAAATCTATAGTAATTGAAATATTAGAAGTTAAATTAGGAACAATGGAACACATAATAACATAATCATTCAACCCGATTGATCGCCGATTTACCCTAGTTTCTACCGATTTACTCCATGACCAATTTAGTGCTTAAACCAGATCACAACAAGTGGCAAGTTTGGTCTAATTTTTTTCCCTTTATTTTTTCCTTTTAGAGTTAGTGCTTGTATATATTGGTCCCCATGTCTGATTTATAGAATTTTTAGCTTGCACAATACTCAAAATTAATGTTTTTCTTGCCTTATCAAAGAAAGAAATCATAGCATTCTAAAGAATAAATCAATGTCCATCTTATCAAAGAAAAATAAAGATCAAGTAAGACATCAGATGCTTCAATTTACTTTTCAAATCCCACCAATTTGTATCATCGACTGTCTCATGCAAACTCATAAAATATTGCAATGTCTTGGTGTACGAAGTAAGCCCAAACTATCATACATGTGCTGTTCTTTCATTTTGAAAGAAAAACACACACGAAGAAATGACAAAAAATTTATGAAAAAGCTCTAACTTTGGTATTTTGCTGTTTTGATTTTGGATTAAATGCAAGCTTAACTAGCATCGTTTGAAAGATCAAAAGTGAGAAAAGCTGATATATATGGAAAAACTGGGAGATCTCATATGAGATATAACAAAGAATTTGTGTGTTAAATAATGGAAAAGACTTGAAGCTATGAAGAAGGACGTATTTTTTTTTGGCCAAATATGGAGAAGGACGTAGAAGCTCAAATTGAAGAAGTTAAGAGTAGTAGAGAGGGGGAAAGGAGACATGGAGTTGGCGTTTGGCTCCAAAGTATCCAAAAAATTCAAGAGTCACTCTTCAATTAATACATCTATTCTCTCTCTCTTTTTTTTCCCACTTATTTAGTATGTGGTGTTTTTATTTATTTGATTGTTTCTGTTCATGAATTAGATAATTTTCTGTTCATGAATTAGATAATTTCCAAATTCAACATCAATAATGTTAATTAAGTAATTCAAGTTCTAAATACTTTGCTCAATAGTTTCTCATAAGTTAATTTAAAGTTGTTAATTAGTTGTAAATCGAAAGTGCTCTAAACCATTTTTTTTATAAAAAAAAAATGTTGTTCAGACCAAGCTAAGCACTTTTAAAAATTTTGGCTAAGTGTGAAATCTATATTATATTGAATTTATTTGAAACTTCTTCACAATATAAAAATATCATGCTTACAGCTACGTGTCCTCTAATCAGGTGTACATATTTTTCTAATTAAATTTATCTCTACTTTTCTTTTAGCTGAAAAATTGGGCAGCTTGTAAAATGGATACTGATAAAGTGATTGAATCAAGTTTTTATGTATGTGATGTTGCATCTAACTAAAAATTTCTCTCCTATGTAATATAAGGACTAAAATATTTAATTAGATTTTAAATATTGTAATAAACGGCATAGGAGTATTTTTTTTTTTTAATTCATTCAAATGGAATTTAAATTAGAGATACCAAATTTAGAAAGCACATATAAAAATTTAAAATTATTTATTTATTTCTCTATTTAAGCCTAATTGACATACTATTTAATTATGATATTTCATATATTCAAATTCTAATTAAGATATTGTTTAAATTTAAAATTATTTATTAATTTGTTCATTTAAGCCTTCAATTGAAATCTCATTTAATAATGATGCCTCTCATTTAATTTAATATACCCAAATTCCAATCAAAATATTATTATGAAGAAATTATTTCTAACTTTTTTATTCACATGAGAATACGCACCAGCCAAAAAGCCCAAGTAACGAAAGCAAAACTGCGCATGAATGAAGTTTCAACGGAAAGAAGATGTTGAGGCTAAAAGCAACCATTATTTCAAATCATATAAATTGTATCAACAAATAAACCCGTCCATAAATTTATAATGATCTATTGTAATTAAAATATACTAAGCTTGGCATTTATGCCATTTTAATGGCAGAGCGAACTTCCAAATACAGAACCAAAACCAAATACTCTTCCGGTCCTTAATATAAAACCCATTTAACTAATTTGATTAGATTAAAGAAGTTAGATAAGTTAGTTAATTATAAATTACTTAGCCCAAACTAAAAAGGAGACCATTCCCAGCCTCAATATCTTGTCCGTATTACGAGTATTTGCTTGTTAAAGATTGCACCAAGCTCATTTGCTTCATACCTTTTTTCTCAATATTTCTATGTTCCTCTTAGCTTTTTCTAAGCCAGCGACTAAACATATATGTTAATAACAACAAAAACTCTAAATGTAAGGTATTTGTATTTGTAATTGAACACTCTAAATTTAATACAAGGTCTTTTAAAGTCAAACTGAGTTGAACAATCCAAAATTTTGCTTATTTACATATAGGGACCGAGTATGAGTTTGAATCCTAAATCTCCATTAGACAACCTGACTGGACGTGGCCCATAAGGCCCATTGGGCTTTCCAACATCTCCAGCATTTATCTTCCTTATTGTCAATTAACTTTTCTTTTGTCAATTATCAAGAATATGACGTCTTGATCTCTCCATACCAAAATCCTGGATTAAAATTTGGTAATACTGACGTATATTCGATGAAGGCTAAAGTTACTGAAACAAAAGAAATCCTTGTGTGCACACAATATCCTATTACTGGAGATTTTTCTTTCAAGGTTTCACAAGAGTAAACTTGACATTGTGAAAGACAGCCGTAGCAAAT